CATGTCAAAAATTTTGAAAAGATGTATAAGTATAGCAGTATTTTATTAATAGTGGTGAATAATTTTTGAATTTGGAAAAAGCGTTGTTTCCTTTTTTTTTTAATTTTTTAGTAACTTTTTCAAACTGGTTCATTTAACTTTTAAGTTCTTTTCAAAATTTCATTAAAAAGAAATCTCACCAGGTGGTGTAATATAGTATTTTGAATTAGGAAAATCTTTTCTAATTTATAAATAAATTAATAATAAATTGTCTAAATTTTTAAAATTAATAAACTTACACTTTAACCATGGTTTCACCTTTATAAATATTTTACCACAGTTGTGTTAAATAGAACATTGTGTGTATGTGTAACAATAGACACATGCATGAAAATGGGTATAATAAAAATGATTATAACTGTTAAACTTTTCACAAAAGTTTTACTAATATTTGTGTCATGAAATGAAAATTTTCATTTGTATTTGTGATAAAAAACATAACGGTATTTCAATTAAAAAAATGTTCTCGTTAATTGTATTTTTGTTTTTGAACTGTACAGGTAGGTAAACTTGGTTATTTTGAATTAAAAATATATTTTGAATGAAATATTTTTTGTTGTCGTAAAACGTTACGAGGTTTTGAAGTGTTTGATGTTTACATGTAGGTGATATAAATATGTAGTTTAGACAATAGTGTTTTATAAGTTTTTTTCTGTTTCGTTTATTATTCAGAATCGGAATTAGCTGAATAAATATTTTGTTTAATTTCATAAGAATAATATTAAAATTGCGAGTTAATAATTTGCGTATCTACATATAACAATCATAAATAAAGTGACTTAACAATATTTTCTTTTTTTTTGGTGGAGGCGGTGGAGGAGGGAGGGGGGGGGGGGGGGGTTATTTAAAGAAATATTCAAGGAATAGTTCAAAGGACTTAATGTTTATATTTTTATAATAGATATGAAAGCGGAATGATTCATAACAATAGGCTTCATACCAGAATATTTAACATGGAATAAAAAATTTCCATTTAAAAGAAAAATTTTCTGAAAATGATAATTTTGAAAAAAATTGTTCATAATTGTTTACATAAAGGTCAGAAGAATAATATGCCTTTTATATCCGAAACTTAACATTTTTTATGCCACCCTTTTAATATAAAGTGGGAAAAATTTTCTTCTCTCTTATTGATTTCATTCAGTCTGCCCATCCATCAGTCTAAAGTGAAAAGTTAAAAATTATAAAATCTTTGGAATCAGGAGTAAGTGTTACAATAATAGCTAAAGAATTTGATATTACAAAATCATCTGTATGCGAGATTAATAATTGGAAACTGTAGTCAAAGAGCTAAATTTGGAATATGTTCAAAATTAAATTATTTCACATTAAATAAAGTGAACTTGTTCAATAGATTATCTGTGTTTGTATTTGTTTCCAATGGAGCAGATTTTCATTCATTCAAGAAAAATGTGCTAATTTGAAAACCATTGATGTGATTTGAATTTATTATAAAATAAATTTAAAAATTATTTAATTATTATAGCCGAACAATAAATTTCATTTTAATGGCATGGTCAATTTAATTTTATATAAAGCCTTAGTCATTCAACTGTGAAAACATAATTTTATGTTACGCGTCTTTAATATTCTTGGGCTTCGCTTCGCTTGTATGATATGCAAATGCTTTTATATGTTACTTAATATGCAAATGGTAAAAATTCTATTGTCACGATATAGAAACTTCGTTTATCGACATAGGAACTTCGGAAATTTAATTGTTTTTGTGATTTTCGAATGAGTGTTTAGTTAACAAATCTACAGCCATATTATTCTGGCCATAGATTAAAAATTTTATGACTTTCGTATCCTATAAAATTGAAAATGCTGATTTGAGTTCATCATACCAGAATAATTGTCCACCTCTTCTTATTCTTGTTTAAGAACTTTTCTAATTTAATTTCCTTTACACTTTTTACAAAACCTAATTTTAAATTTTTTTAAAGCTTTTTACAATCTTAAATTTATTTTTTTTATGCGTATAGTTTTTATAAGAAATTATAATGTTATATAATAATAGAGAGTGTACACAATATATACATATTCATATTAAAGAAAAGGAAAATTTAAAAAGGATCTCATTTTAATGAAGCTTTTTTTTCAAAATAAGAAAGACTAGGGAAAAATTCGTACTTTTTATCGTTTGTGTTGTTTGATATTTCGACGTCATTTCTTTAATTCAAAGGATGTTTTAATGAATAAAAAGCAAAAACTAAAAAAAGCAGAGCAATCGACACACACAAACATCTTTTTAATTATAGTCAGAAATCTCTGAATAAAGTCAGAAACTCTATTAATTTAAAATCTTAAAAGATTTGTGTAAACCTATATACATAATGTATGGATGTGATTTAAAGATTTCAGAGAAGCATCAGGTAAAATCGTACATTTTCTTAATTATATGGCTGTATACATACTATGTTGATGAAATACGAAAATAATTTATGGTTAAATAATAAATTCCTGGAATTTTCCTTTTATTTTTAAAAATATTATGCAATTTAATTGCAAGATCTAATTTGAAACATGATTTTCCATTTATTATTGAAAACGAGGAACAAATATAGATTCTTCAAATTCTTGATAGAATAACTAATTACGATTTTGGAATATCGGAATTTTTTTCTTAGTTGTGATGCTTAATGGCCTATTAATGAGTTTGAATATTTCATAAATTTTTAAAATTTAATAGGATTTTTTCTGGCAATTTCTTTTTGGGATATTTAATTTAAACGTAATTTAAAAAAAAATGGAGATCTGTGATTTAAAAAAAATTATTAACTAGAAACCAAACGTTTGCTTTAAGAAATATTTAGCATTTTAATCAACAACACAATTGAACCCTGCCTATATCAAGCGATCCATATAAGAAGTGAAAGCACATAAGAACTATAAAAAAGTTAAGAAATCAAACCCGCCATGTTCCATGTATTAGCCTTAAAATTTTGTAAAATGTCCCTCGATTCAGGGGCCTGTAATTAAATTCAACAATTCTGTTAGACCGTGTGAAGGTTTTACATTATAATTAAAGTGGATACTAGTCTCGTACATGACAAAAGTTTTAAAAATGACAAAGAAATTTCACCCCAGATTGAGTGTCATCGCAGTTTATAAAATTGTCAATTTTCCTTTTCAAAATTATTTTGCCAAAATTACCTTAATACAAATATAAATTGTGCATTTCAAATGCTTCTGTTGATGGTATAGAAAAAACCAAATAATTGCGGAAAATTAATCAATAAATTTATCGTTTCCAATAATTTTATCATTAAACTTTTATTCAGTTATCTTTAATGATTTATAAGCCATATTCAAACATTTGCACATTTATTAAAGCGATAGTATAAAAATTAATTAATTTTAATCAATATTTACTGAAGTTATGAGTGTGCACACATACGGTATGTATGCCTGTACCCATTTATTGCTACTTTAAATTATTATTTTTGTATAGATAAAATATAATTTATTTGGGTTTATTTTCTTTTAGAATTTTTTTTCGGGGAAAATTGAAAAAAGTAACAGGGAATTCATTAAAACCTTAATATTAAATTGGTTTGAATAATTTAATTATTAAATTTGCCATTTTAGTATTTTTAAAGTTTAGTAAATCTTTTGAACAAAATTCACAATTATTTTATACGTAATTATCTGGATTGAATAATCAAATTTAGTTGTTAGACATTTTTACTTTATCTTATTAATCGGCAATATTTTGTCTGCATAACATTTACAAAATTAAAGAATTGCTTTTTTTATATTTCAAATTTAGTATTGCCAGTTCTTAGAAATATCTCACTATTCACAAATGTCAAATTTCTCTTATTTTCGTCAACCTTAATATTATGTGGTGTGTGATATTACAAAAATCGTATATAGAATTCACATGTAATTTTTATACTTGTACGAACATGTATTCGGGGGGTATTAAAAATATGCCTTACCGTTTGAAAGATATAATAGTCTGCGATTAAGATATAAGTGTATGCTTTTAATTAGCTACTAATTTTGAGTCGATTTTTGAGTTTTCAAAAATGATTTATAATAGTATAAACAGTGGTTTGGGTAGCAGCCATACAACTTCTTAAATCATTTCTTCCAGAAACTATGGAAATTAAACATTAAACCATTTAGTAATATGGCCACTATTTTCAATAAAAATCTTTAAGAATGAATATGAGTTTTTGTGGTAACTGCCATATATGTAAAAAATAAAATTATTCATAAAAAAACCAAGGTCGTGTGAAACAGTGTATTAATTACAATACAACTCTTAAAATCATTCATTCGTATGCATATCACATAGTTGATACGGTCAACTCTACCTATTCTCGTTACTCTTAAAATTCTTTTTTGTAAATCATTGTGATTTATTTTATTGCTATAATGGCGTTATGTGATGCGTCTTTCTTAATAAAGTACATGATTTGAATTTATTTTTATGTGTGTTTTACAAACGTCATGAGCATATTCCGGATTATTTTATTAACTTGTTTTCATACTATCCTACATATGTACATGTGAAATTATGCAAATTTCAAAGATTGTTGAATGGAAAATTATGTACGTATTTATATAAATGTATAAATATAGACTGACATTATTGTGAAATTTCGAAGATAAAATTTGAATATTGAGTTTGAGAGCCTAAAATTACATAAATATATTTTGGTTTTCATTAAGTTTTTGAAGTTTCAATTTAATTGTATAACAGGATGAAATCAGTATATGCATGAATGTCATACAGCTGTATCAGAACGGGTTATTGGAGGGTTATTCGAGTTATTGGAGAAAAATTAAATGTTTATTTTGAAAATTCTCAAAAATATATTTTTTTTACTTTTAAATTTAATTTTTACACAATTCATTTTATTAATTTACATAATTTCATTGAAATTTTATATTAAGTTTGATATTATGAAATTTAAAGTCTAAAAATATTTACAATGTGTTTCTTTTTTTTTAAATAGAATTATTGTACGGGTCATCATCGTCGTGTATCACTTAATTTTTTTCTAATCAGTTTTAGAAATTATTCTTCTTCATCTTCTTCGTTTTCACCTTGAACAGGTTGTTGTTCATTAAAATCATTTTCGTCATTATCTTCTTTTTCAAGATCACTTATTTCATCATCTTCAACGTTAATTTGTTCTTCTTCTTCCTCACCTTCTGATATCGGTTCAGTTTCACCAGTTATAATTTCTTTAGCTAATTTATATAGCTTTTTAATAGTCTAAAAATAGAAAATATTTTTAATTATAGGGTAAAAATAATAAATTTTATATTTGATCATTTTAATTCATATAGAAATCTATGTACATCAGTTGCTCTAAGTTTAGCTATTTTCGGATCTTCAAAATATAATGATTTATATTGATCGGATGCCATTATAAGTTCTTTTCTAATATCTTCCTCAATATTATTTTGTAATTCATTGATTTTATCTTGACGATTTTGATCAGTATCAAATTCAATTTTCTCCATAAGGCTTATATCAGAATCGGATAGATCAGTTTCAAATTTATTCTTATTTTCTTTAACTTCCTTGAGTTTTGTCTAAAAGTAAGGAAGTTGTTACTTCTTTAAAGAAAAAGTTTTTTTTTTTAATTCTTACACCAGCTTCAAATAATGCTTTTCTAGCTGCTTTACTATCACCAGCGCTAGCAGTTTTTGTTGCCAAATCTTCACGAACTTTTTTTTCAAGATCACGAAACATTTTCCTTTAATAATAAAGATCAAAAATAAAATTTTTGTTTTTAATTAAAAATTTTAAATGAAAATTACCTTGCTTTCACAACATTTTGTATGTCATCTGGGTCACTTAAAAATGGCGTTGGTATTTTTATTGATTTTGATTTCATTCTAATATTTTCTTTTTCCAAAAATTCCCTAAGTGTTTCCTCACCGTTTCGCCAGTTTTGGTCAGTAATTCTATTTAATGTAATTAAAAAATTTTAAGAAAAGCGCTTAGACACATCTGATATTAAAATTATGGTTGTTTTGAGTGTGAACGTAATGTGAATTTTGGCTGGTGCTTGTGGTAACAATATGTGTCCAAGTAATATTTTTTTATACTTTACCTTAATAGATCTAATCCTTTTTTTTTATCTTCTTTGGCATAATTTGTCACTAAAGCTTTTTCATTTTGTTCTTCTAGTGTACGTTTTTCTTGATTTTCAATTTCTAATTGTTCATAACGCATTTTTTCTTTTTCCCATTTTGCAAATTGTATTGCTAAACGTTCAGCATTTCTTTCTCTATTTGTTTTAAGCTAAATGAAATGAAAGAAAAATTCAGACAAATCTTAGAAATTCTTATATGTAAGATGCAAAACTCTACCTTAGCACGTCTTCCTGTTATGACTTCATTGGCAGCTTTATTGACAATAAATATTGGATGATCTGATTGATCGTCAGGTACAACATCGGATTTACCAGCTAATATCAAATTTCGTTCACGTTCACTCTCTTTCACCTGCATTATAGGAATAAAAAGATTTGTTAGACATACATACAACCAAATACATAATAGGTGTATATTTAAAAATAAATTTCAATTTAGACACACGCTCATGTGACACATTTAAGGCACGTGTTTTCAAACTGAAATTTTTCAAATAAAAACTTTTTAAATTTAATTTTTTAAGTGAGTTTCTTTTGCGAGAAATCAAGGGTTGAAAATATTTTATCAAATTTATTTTAGTAGAAAAGTTAAAGTTTGGGAAATCTAATTGTAATTTATTCATTTAAAAAATTTAATAAATGTATTTTAAAAAAGTTTTAAGACTTTAGAGACGGTGGTGCGTGTTTTAAGGTGGAAATTTTGAAGTTTTCAAATATTTTATCAACTCAGACTAATGCAATAACTTTAATAATAAAAATTCTCAACTTTTTATAATAAAAATCAATAGAAAATTGGAAATTTTTACATGAAACGTCGGTGTTTAGCTTTTATTTTAAAATTTTTTTGTGATTAATTAATTTTTTAAAAATATTTTTTCAATAATTTTATTCTTAAGTTTAATAAATTATAAAAAAATTTATTAAAACAGTTAGAATAAAATAATTTTATTCTAACTGTTTTAAAAAATTATAATCCTAGGTAAGACTTTAATGCTTCACTTTTGAAATTTTCAATAAATTAGAATTTTGAAATGTAAGAAGATTTGCCGAAGTTTATTTAATAGCGGTATTAATAATTCCGATATTGTCAAAAATATTTTGAAAATCTTTTCATATTATGATTTCACAAAATCTTCGAAATATTTTTGAATACCTACCTCTCTTTGTGTAATCCTTTTTTTTAATTGTATTTCATAATCCTTTTGCATACGGGCTCTTACTTCATTCATAAATTTTCTATCTGTTAAACGTATTACATTTGATCCCATCAACTTTTCAATTCTAGCTGTAATCCTTGGCAAGGCAAAGCTATAATTAAAAAAAAAACAAAGAAACAAAAATTTTTAAACTATTTTTAATTAATTTTATTTTTCATAATACTTTTATAATTTTTATATGTGTATGAGTTTGGAATTATAATAAGTGTTTTTTTTTTGAACTTTTAAAAAATTTTTCACCTGTTGTTGATCTTGTGTTTTTTTGAAATATGCTTTATTTGTGATTATAATTGGTGTTAAACATATTTGCTAATATTTAGTGACTGTTGTTTTCTAGAATTCTTTAGAAAGTTCTTTATTAAAGAATTTGTTATTATTGTTCGTCTCAACTTGATTTTGTATATACAAACAGGTTGCATGAGTTCTTAAAATTTTTTCTATATTGTTTTGTAAACATGGTTGCTGTTATATATGAAAAACAACACGTGTGCCTATAAAATGGCAGCTATTGTAATAAACTAATAGTTTCCGCACGTATAACGCACATACACACAATTCACATTGAAATATTTATTAATTTCTTACCTATCCTTTTCAATATTTTTTTTTCCAATAAAATTAATAAATTTTACCGAATATACACGGTAATTCGAATATAAGTATAAAAAGAAAAAGAAAAGAATTAAAATCAATCGGCAATGATTTCTTAACTGTTAAGATTTTTGTGTATGCACATAAATTCGCATTAAAACACACTGGTTATGAGCTGGTGGTTTTTTTTCAACTGATAAACGCGAATAACATAACATTAGTTTTTTTTTTTATTTTTTGTTTATGTCCTTTATTTTCTCATTTTTTCGTTTGTATACTCAATATAAAATTTTGTGTGACAAATAATATTCCGAATAAATTACAAAAACAACAAAAAATATAAAATGAAATTTTCGTGCACTTCTCTTCATTTTGGTGTTTTCACTTATAGAATTCAAATTTTCCAATTTGTATATGTGTGGGTTTTACATTTTAAGTATGAAATATTAAGTCTAGTACATATAAAGAAATTTATATGTTTATTATTTTTAAAATATGAAATGAAAAAAAAAATTAAAATTTAAGTCATAGTACAGAGTGTACAGAAAATTTGACAAATTTTTAAGAATGCACGAATGTGTTTTATTGTATACAAAGTAACTATATCTCATTCAATACCGAATTGTAGTCGCGTGTATGAGATTAAGAACCAGATTTTTTTTTTGTTACAGAGCTTGACTTGTGATCTACAACCATGATAACAACATTTCTTTACTTAAACTTAAAAAATAAAATATTTGTTATTCAAAAGATGAATTCGATTGAAAATGTCATAAGAATGTAAGAAATCAGGCTACAAAAAGTCAGGAATGGCTGCGGTGGCTCCAAGGGTTCTCCTATCCCACTCGATTCCCTTAAAATGTACAATCTACAAGTAAGAACTCATTTTTTATTAATGTATTTTTGAATAGAGTGTATCAGTATTAAAATTTCACGCATATTCTACATATTTAGTTTTACATATAACAATTGTAGGTTTCGCATGGCAGCTACTGAACTAAGTTTTAAAATAAACTAAAAAAATAGCACACGTTTAAATTAAAATCTTTACCACACGTTTTCCTTTCAATAATATTATATTAAATTGACCACCACAATTTAAAATAATCCTTAAATTTAAACACACTCTGTCAACTATAGAATGAGAAACACTCTGTCTGAAGAAAAACCTCAAAAAAAAAAGTCATTAAGAAAAAAAAAAACATGAAAGGATTGAAACAAAAGACTTTTTTGTAATCACTTTTTTTTTTTTTTTTGACTTTTTTTTCTGAATGGGCTGCTTATTTTTATTCGAAAAATATGTTGCCAAACCATTCTCTTTGGAACTTAATGAGTGCATAGCTATATCTTCTGATTTTGTTGTAAATCTAACCAATTTGATGGCATACAACAACGTGTTATTAAATAACCAAATAGTAAAGCCTACATGTAAATCTATACGCAGCTAACGGGTTGTACCAAGCAAACAGATGTCAAGCAAATACAAATTTTCAAGAACAACGTATTTTGTAATATGGTGGGTACTCCATTATATGTGAGCAATAGTAATATTCATAAGGATTTGCGTGTTCCCAAAGTAAGTGATGAAATAAGAAGCTGTGCCATGAAACATAGCATATAAATATTGAGGTCTCTAGACATATAGAGGAGAAGTTGAGGACAGAAAGACTGAAAAGAACGTAATAGAATTGAGTTGGATCCTTTGAAATATTTTTGTTTTGGCTAAACAATTCTATATTTTGATACGAAAATGAATATTCGACGAAACGACCCGCTACTATTTTAGGTATGTATGAACAGTAAAAGTCATTCATATGTGATTCAAATAAATAAAAATATTGTCTTTGTGTCCTTATTTTGTTTTTTTTTTGTTTCTTTTTTACTTTTATTTAATTTTGAAACAAATAACATTTGTGATTTATAGAACTTGTTAGCTTTGAATCCTTTTTCATGTTATGCCTTATTAAAAGTATAGATGGAACCCTCCGTATGTAACAGAATTTGTTGCTTTTTGGTTTCCATTTTTTGTTTTTGTTTTTTTAATGGAATGAGTTGAGAAATTTTTGAGGTTTTTTTGTTTTTTTATTATTATTTTAAAGGTAATCCGAGGTGATCACGATAAAAATCTATAAAAAAAAGGGAAAAATTGAATAAAATTTAAAGGAAAAAAGAAAAAAACTTTTCATATTTTCAGTTCCAATTTATTATTTTATTTCGCTTCTGTCTGTTTCCTTTTGTCATGTTGTGTGGTTTCCGAAAATTTCTTTTTTTCCTTTAATATTTTTTGAATTTCCTTTATGGTTAAATTCAATTTCTCTTTAAATTTTTTTTATTCTTTATTTTTATATGATTGGTGTCACATTGGTGTTACACAAAGGTTTTAACTTCAACATCAAAAGTTATTTAACAAGAAATTCAAAAATTTTCTGTTTTTTCTTGTTTTTATTATGAAAGGGTTGCCTATCCTCTGATAAATATGTAGAAAATAATATTGTCTATTATTTTGTTTTTATTACGAAGTTTAAATTTGGAGAAAAATTTGAAATTAAAATGAATATGTACTTTAAGGTATAGGATGCCTTTAAATAAAATAAAGACAAAATAATTATTGACCTGAAAACCATAACCTGACAGAAATGGCAGACATTTTCTCGACTATGACGTTTAAACTTCTCTTTTTTCTCAATTAAATCAATTGCTGGGCAATTACAAAAATTATAATGAATTTGGATGATTTTTTGACATAAAAATTATTGTGTAAAAGTTGGCAACTTCTTGTACGATTCTTTTAAATTTTAAAATATTAATTTAAATATTATTTTGTCATATGTACATTTTTTTTAGAAAATATAAATATGTAAAACATATTATTCTTCTTGACATGTTAATTTATCTGTTTCTAGTATTTTATTTTAAATATTTTTTTTTCTTTTATTTAAAAATAAAACGTGATACGAAAACGCAAAATTACTTAAATCCTTAAACGGTATAAACAAGTTGCGTGTTTAAATTACATTTACAGTAAAAAACAAGTCAAATATTTCGATGACTCTTTTAATTTCTCAACAACAATCTAACTCTTTCTCATTTATGCTACTATGTGAACATATACGAGTACGCAACAAAATTTCTGTTTCAATACCAAAATATCATTTAAAAGTCACACATATCATCACTTTCTACCTCAATATTTTTTATTTTATACGACAAGTTAATTGTTATGTCAAATAAAATCGGGTGGTAGAGAACAAGGATAGCAATAAGAATCCTTTTTATATAAATTTTTAACAATTAAAATTATTGTCTAATTTTTGTTGTTATTAGTGAAAGTAAAGTGAAAATAATAAAAAATTAAAACAAAAATATTGTAGGGAAAATCAATGAATTTTTTTTAATTTCGTGACATTATTTTACGCTAATTTATTTTACTATAAAGGCCTTACATATTCTTATATGAGAAAGATAATAAAACTGTGTTACATTAATATTGTATATATATGTATATATTTATCTTTTGTTGTGCATATATGAGAAATAATAAGAAAACTATAAACTTTCATTTTCCATAGAAATTATTTTCAATTAAGTTATGGCGTTTTTTCAAAATTATTTTCATTCATTAAAGCAATGAGATTAACTTTTCTTCATTAAAATACGAAAGGACAAAGAGAAAAGGCAAATTAAATATATAATAAAAAGAGAAAAATATATATATGTATAGTAAGAGAGAAAGATATTACATAATTAAGTCATGTGAAAACTGATTTTGTCCCCCTCCTCCTCCTCAAAGGATTTGAAACGCTTAAGGATTTAAATTGTAGTCGAAAAGTTTTCATTTTGCGTATAACAGATTTTCCAAAACAAATTAACAATTTTCAATATTTTTTTTAGTTTGTTCTTTTTTTTCAAACTTAGTGAAAGTTAGGGAACGATACGATACTAAAGTTATTTGTATAATTGCATTTTGTTTTTGTCTCTTAAGATTATTAATTTTGAGTTGAATGTATGCGAGTGTAAATAAATCTCATATACGTACTAAAAAATTGTAATTGCATGCCCTTAGGTTCTTTGAACTTTATGTAACTTGCATTTTTTTCTATTAGAATGTTTTTTTTCCATAATTCTTTGTCACATTTATGTGAGGATTCCTTGTATATATCGTATATGAAAGAAGACCACGCAAGAAAATACGTTCACAAATTTAAAAATAATTTCAAATAAAGCGCATAAAATGAAAAAAAAATGGGAAAAATAGAAATTTGTTTTTCCACTTAAATGACACTCAAATGAGATTTTCAATTAAATTTACAGTAATTTAGATTGAAAAGACGAACCTACCGAGGCAAAGTTAACATTTATCTTTATTACAATTATAATTTTTTATTAAATTGTGTTCGAAAATATTTGTGTGTGTTGAGCGCACGAGGAAAAAGTTAAATTCAAGGGTAAGAATTGGAAATTTTTGAAATAATACAATTGGCCAGAAGAATTGATAGGATT